ATTTTTTATAAATGATTTGTGATCATTGAATAAACAAAAGTCTAAAAGTCGTTTAGGAGAAAAATCGTTTTCTTCTGAACAACTTTATTGCCTTATGTCGAAATGTTTTGCATTACAATAACCCTTAGACATGTCACCAAGAGTCTCCAACCATTGGCTACGATAGTCATGCGGACCCCAACAAAGTAGTCTGCATCTACCAACATGGTTCAAACTAGAAGTTAGTGACTTCAAGCACTGATGCCACGTTTTGGTTTGGCCAATCCCTAAACTTCTTCCGATTATCCCTACCATCAGTTAGCATTGCGCATCGTGGTAATCAGTTTTCAGGCATACGCAAAACGTGACCTAACCATCTCAGTCGATAAAGATTCATAACCTCATCAACTGATTTACCATCATTCCCTAATACCCTGCGTCTAACCCCACTATTATTTACCCGGTAATCCCAACAGATACCAGCAATATTTCTAAGGCATCTGTGGTCAAATACTAGTAGCTTACGAGTATCTTCTACTCTTAATGGCCACGTTTTGCACTCGCAAAGTAGAACGGACTGAACTGCCGCGTAGTATACTCGTCCCTTGATTGATAGACAGATATCTCACCTTCGCCATAGGTGACGTCTGTTAGCAATGGCCAAACGAGCTTTTCAAATCCGTGCTGAGATTTCGCCAGACACCAATCCATTAGAACTGATCAGACTTTCAAGATAAGTGAAGTTGTCAACGCGTTCGACTACATCACTCCCATAGATTTGAATATCACCAAAAAAATAACATGCTTTAAAGACAATTATAGGTATTATTATTATTATTATTATTACTCGAAATCAATACATTTCTAGGTCACTATTAGGTCATTAATATATTGTAAGCTTTCTATTCTTTGTGTCATTCATACGTGACATTTTTTGTTCAGTCAATAAACAAAGCTTGTTTTACTTTTCTTTACGTTTTCGATTAGTGTACTCCTCCTCCTCCTCCTCCTCCTCCTCCTCCTCCTCCTACTACTACTACTACTACTACTACTACTACTACTACTACTACTATTCTACTAACAATACTACTAATATGACTATTATAGCCATCACTATTAAAGGGATAGAGAAAAAATGTATAGTAGTGTTATTGTCTACCAGTGTTTCATTTCCTGTTGAGATTTTAGGCTAATGTTGATATTAATCTCTTGTGACATCTATCAACCTATCGTGTATATACGTATACATCTATATCTATATACATATATGACTAATTTCTGTGGTGATTCCACTATCATCATGTGACTAATATTGATTATCTGAGGGAAATTTTGAATTACTATTATACCATCTTAACTAAATGGAATGAATTAATGGTTCGTTTGTTTTATTCATTTTATACATCTTCAACTGTTCTTGTATTATCGAGACAAATACAGGAGAATACTGGGTATTCTTCACAATTGATTGATCACTGGATGGTGACCAATGTCATGCGTGTCTACTTCTTATTATTAGTGCAGATTGAATACTATCGACCATGTTGCAATGTGGCCACTAGGTTAGATGACTCGACACTATTATGAGAATAGATGGTGGATGTCGACTACCTCTAACCACCATCTAACTGGGTATTCTTTTTTTTTTTCTAGTAAGAATAAGAAGATTGAACTTGGAACTTGTTGAAGAATGATATCAAACAAAGACATCTTAACTATCAGTGATTCATCAGTTAATATATTACGTGTTATTATTGAAATCTTCAAGTTGAAAACAAATCAGAAACTGTTTTCGTTACAATTGATTGATCACTGGGTGGTGATATCAGTGTTATGTATGTCAGGTCTTTCTTAGTGCAGATCGAATGCTATCGACCAATTAGAAATGTGGCTACCAGTCTAGATGACTCAACATTGCGTGCACCATGTTGAGATAAGATGGTGGTTGGAGGTAGTCGACCGGTAACTCTGGACCTAGGTTTCGTGTTATTTGGCACTCGATCTCATGTCACTCAGCTTCATAATCAGAGACGTTACCACTGAGCTATCCAGGATTTCTTGTTGAATACCTCCAACCACCATCTTACCTCAACATAGTGAACGCAATGTCGAGTCACCTAGACTGGTGGCGCAAAGTATTAATCCCCTCAAGATTACAGGTACATCTTACTGATGAGTGACAAATAACACGAAACCTAGATCCAGGATTTCCTGTTGACTACCTTCGACTAGAAAGAACTGGACAGTAAAACACATGTCACTATATTGTGATTTATCAGGCTCAACCAACACACTGCTTAAAACTAAACCTGAAACTTATATACGTTTACAAATCAAAGAATATACATTTAAATTAATAATAAGTTGCCATAAAAGTATTTATATTTTTTTTCCGAATCCAGTCCATTCATAGTATTGTGTAGAACAATCTAGGAATATAGGCTGAAAACTTTAGTCTTGAACAGTGTCAAACTACCTTGTAGTACCATGGAAGACATATATCAGAATCTAGTCAATCAATAAAGTTTGTTACTGCTTTTATAGTGATCAATAGATAGAATAGTTTTAGATAGTATAATAAGAAGACGAAGATGATCAGTACTGAGTGATGTATCATCGTACAACATTTCCAACTATCTAAACACATATATACTTTATCAGAAGGGGTTTTGTGGAGATTATAGTAATTTCAATGATTAAGATCATGAGTCGGTTGAAGCTAGACCACCATGGAAAACCTGGAAACACTGGACGGCCGTTTCGTCCTATTATGGGACTCCTCAGCAGTGCGCATCCACGACCTCGCCCCCTGCGAGGTTTTCCATGGTGGTCTAGCTTCAACTGACTCATGATCTTAATCATTGAAATTACATATATACTTATTAAAAACATCCATGTATAATGTTTAAATTTAAAGTGAATTAATTTTTCTGGTTAGCGTGTTTTTAGCGAGTTAGTTTTCTACGAGATGGGTTCACAAACACCATACCCAACCCTCCTCCTTTACCCGGGCTTGGGACTGACAGTAACCCTAGAAGAGCTACAGGCCGAGTTTCCCGACCAAAGAAAACATTACGTCGGGAAATAGAAGCAGATATAAAAAGGATGAATAAAAACTGGAAAAAGCTGGAAAGGATCGCTCTAATCTACTTAACCGATGAATTGAACCTATTATTTTTTTCGTTAATAGCCTAAATGACTTTATGAATGTTACAATACTATATCATTCAATGCTGACAATGATAATTATTATAATTTTGAAATGATCTAGAAGGACTTGTGGGACCCGATTGTTTTGTCTACATTTTTGTGTAATCATTGATCAGACAAATGAACGAGGGAACAATGAAAAGAGAAGTAAGCGAAGCAAAAATGACGCGCCGTGGAGAAGGCGGATAAACCAACTCCCCTTTTAACCAAGCGTTAATCAATATTTATAAGCACACAAAAGTTACAGATATGTGATGAGTAATGTAGTAAGAAGTGTCCACACACCAACACGCTCATATAAAAACAGTCAAGATTGATAAGCGAATAATTACCAAGATCAAAATGTGACTCAAGGAGAATGAATAGATTGAGCTAGAATAAGGTATAATATGGGCTTAACATAATAACAGACACTACAGACTTCTGATAGCTTCATCATGAAGTCATGTCTCATAGAGTTCAACCATGAATTGTGAATTGAAATAACTATTACCGAAACTATATGATGTTAATCAGGCTAATATCGTGAATCATTCTGAATCCATTATGAAAGGTCATCTATAATATGATATCTAAACCCATTGAATGTTATTCAGATCAATAAAATCACTTCCCGGGTTCTTACTTTGACTTCATTAACGCGATATGTTAATCAAACTTAAGAAGATATTAAGACTATATTATTACTGTATTGAGCTTTATTTAAACTGCTATATCTTGCTTATTTCAAGTTGATTATATTCAATACAGAGACATCAGTTCATGATTATCTACCTTCAAAATGATATTCTGATTTCCACATTCAACCAATTAGTCACAAATTGTCAGTCCGCTTCAGCTATTTCAGATTTAGAAATCAAATGACTAAAAGTCAAATATACAGATCTGTATTATGTAAATAAGTGAATAGAAAGACTAATATATCATTATTAGTATCACACACGAGACTGAGTTTGAATCTCACAAGGTAGAATCGTAAATATGCACTGCTAACAACTCATAATCCTAACTATTGAACATATATATAATTATCAGAAGGGGTTGTGTGAAGATTTTAGAAATTTTACTGGATAAAATCATGAGTCATTTGAAGTTAGATCACCATAGAAAACCTGGAAGCACTGAATGGCCATTTCGTCCCAGTATGGAACTCTTCAGCGATGCGCATCCACAATCCCACTCCCCGCGAGATTCGAAAACAGGACTTATCAGTCTCGCGCCAGGCGCTTAACCAACTAGACCACTGAGCCGGTTGGCATCCAACGGTGTTGATGTCTAACTTCAACCAATCCACGAAGTTGCGCCACCGTACACCATTGTCTTCGGTGAGCTGATATCTAACAACAGACCTGGTTGAACTCCACTGGTAACGGCTTCTCACTAGAACTTCAGGAGTATCTCTTGAAGTCAGTCACTAGTGAGCAGATAATTATTCATATCAGAAGGGGTTGTGAGGAGATCTTAGAAATTTTACTGGATAAAATCATGAGTCATTTGAAGTTAGATCACCATAGAAAACCTGTAAGTACTGAATGGCCATTTCGTCCTAGTATGGAACTCTTCAGCGATGCGCATCCACAATCCCACTCCCCGCGAGATTCGAAAACACGACTTATCAATCTCTCGACAAGAGCTTAACCAACTAGATTCACACTATTGAGGAGTCCTATACTAGGACGAAATGGTCGTCCAATGCTTCCAGGTTTTCCATATTGGTCTATCTTCAATGGACTCATGATTTCAACTAGTGAACTATATACATATATACATATTTACATATTTATATTGATTAAACAATATCATAAACATACTTCTAAACCAGCTTCTTCTTGTGTTTCATGATTAAATGCATTTGGTAAATATGTTAAATTATAACCAATAGTTTTACATAATGGTATTTCAATTGGTATACATTTCTCTGGTCTAAGTACTTTATCATTATCTATTGAATGATGTAATAATTGATTAGAATTTATTAAATATTGATTATTTATAATAGTTGGATCAAGATCATTATTTTTATGATCGGTTTCATGATTAGCATTATTATTATTATTATTATTATTATTATTATTATTATCATTCTTATTTGATATATTAGAATCTTGATTATTTTCAATTGAATAATGATTATTGAAATCATTAGATTTAGATCGTTTAATTCTTTGAATAGAATTGAATAAATCAATATTTCTATTGTTTATTATATATTGTTGATGAATAATATTCCAATTGGATTGTTTTATATCATGATTGTTACCATAGAGAAAATCAATATTTTGAGGTAAAATATTGATTATTAATAAGATTAAAATAATCCACATTTTTTTTGGTGTTTTTTTTTGTTTTTTTTGTTTTTTTTTTGTTTTTTTTTTGTTTTTTTTTGTTTTTGTAAATGTAAAATAATTTGATCGAAGATTTGATTACTTTATGATTGTTGATTTATCTGTAAAAAAAAAAAAAAAAGAAACAAAATCTAGTGAAAATGCATTAACAGTATAAGATTGTAGAGATTATGAAGATTTGATTGAGATCATGAAGTTGAAAGTATTGAATGGATGTTTTATCCTATTGTGAAACTCTTCAAGAATGCGTATAAACAATCCAACTCACAGAATTTGAACACAAGGCCATTAGTCTGTAGTTAATCCATGTCAAGTAGAGATAGATATCTATCTCAGTAGAATGGGAGATGATAGAGCAATTTCATGGATTGGTTTAGTATAGACATTGACACTGTTGGATGCTGATTTAGTTGTCTAGAGGTTAAACGTTCACGTGTGACATTGAAGGTCATGGATTTGAATCCTGAGAGTGGGATTGTGGATGCGCACTGATGAGAAATCCTACAATAGAACGAATAGGACATGGATTGTTTCCATGTTTTCAATGGTGGTCTAACTTTAATTGGTTCATGATATCAATTGAAAAATCATTACTTTCTTTAACAGTTAAATTCATAGATCAATATGAGCTAGATCATCATTGAAGAATCGAATGTACTGGACGGTCATTTCTTTGTAATATGCATGCAAGATTGGAAACCAGAACTGCTGACAAGTCTTATAATAGGTAAAAACGGTCACTTAATGCTTTCAAGTATTCAATAGTGGTCTAGTTTAGATAGATTTGTGAATTTAACGGTTAGAAATAATACAATGTCCGCACAATCTACTCAAGTTTATTTAAGCATGAAAAGATGCTTATGAGATTCATATGTAACCGTAAAATATTTCTTTGAATGGACAAGTGTCCTATTTTATTTGGGATTCGTCAGCTTGATTAACCTATATGCGATCGTTAATGTTCACTGACGGATTTGAAAAGATAACTTTACATTTTAAACGTCATGGTAAAACGAGACACATATACGTTAAAATCTATGCACACAAACAAAACTATAAAACCTCTACAATACATCATCTAACAAATATACTATGTGATGAACACAGGGGTAGAGAGGATCTAGTCAACAACTCGTATAACAACAATTAAAAGATTTCTATATGTTCCGAATCTTCTCAAATGATATTTCATTCAATTGCATGTAGTTGATCTACTTCACTTTTGTATATGTGTATGTATCCATACATGTGGATATCACTTCCTTTCACTTTCTTTCTTTCTGTGAAGAACACACGTTAGAGATGATCTAGTCAAGTCGTACTCACTTACTTACCCCTGTTACTCCTCGTAAAGGAACATAGGCTGCTCACCATCATTTTCCATACAACCCAACTATAAAAATATATATATAGATTCATAATCTTCTCAAAAGATATTTCATTCAATTCCATGTAGTTGATCTACTTCACTTTTGTATATGTGTATGTATCCATACATGTGGTTATCAGTTCCTTTCACTTTGTTTCTTTCTTCCTTTATAAAAGAAACCTGTTGAAATACTTGGTGATGAGAATTCCATTCTGTACCATAGATACAATAATGAATTAAACCATCAATCGAGTATATTGTTCCGTTGATGGAAATCATTATTGATTGATCGTATTTAGTGAGTTAGATACTACGGTAGAGTTTGTTCAACATATTAATGGCAGTAATCAATATTGCACATTTACAAAACTTCATGAATCTTCAAGTTTCATGATATGATGTTAAGCTTTAATACCATTAGGTTGTTGTTCATTGGTATACTGTTTCAACCCCACTTAATTTACGATTTATCATAACAATCACTCACATCTGATCAGTCAGTTCATTATGTTAAACTATCACAAAATTCAATGCATGAATAAATGTTTGTGTAAATGGATCTGTACTGGTTGATTGTAGTATATTATTATCACTACACTTATTATTAATATTAATTCTAAAAGAAAAAATATAGTTCTCAGACTACAAATAGTACATCTACATTACAGGTAGCTTGTACCTCTTTCTTCATTTCATTCTTCCTGTCCCAACTCTATACAATCTTATGTTTTTTGTAAGATTAGTTTAATATACGGAGTTAGTGAAAGTTTTTTCTAATCGATCTGTTCTATTCGATAACAGAGTTTCTACTAAAGATCTGTAATATTCTTTACTTCAGTTCAAATATCTTTCTACTACTACTACTACTACTACTACTACTACTACTACTACTACTACTACTACTACTACTACTACTACTACTACTACTACTACTACTACTACTTCTACCAACACTACTACTACTACTACTTCTACTACCAACACTACTACTACTTCGGTTACTATTATTATTATTATTATTATTATTATTATTATTATTATTATTAAGAATGTTGTTTTGACTCGAATTCTCTTTTTATTTTCTTCAATACAAAAATGCCTGATCTGATTTTCTTACAATAAATCTTAATAAACTTAACCATTATCCATTTAACCATCAATCCATCTGTTTTCGTTAAGAACTTATCCATCTAAATATGAAAGTTCACATACAATCACCCCCCCACACACACACACATACACACACACGCATATACCACATACAAATATCCATGCATGAAAGTGAATGCACGAACTGTATTGAGCCACAAAAACAATAATACATATGGAAGTCTTTATTATAATTACCATTATTATTTATATTGGAAACACGCAAATTCAGTGAAATGGAAAAAATAATTTTCTCCTACTGCCATTACTACTACTAGTAGTAGTAATAGTAGTATTAGTACTAGTCTTAGTAGTGTTAGTAGTATCTGTCACTTATTCATGCATCATCAAATATAAGTTGAATGAAAGTGTAAACACGTGTGTGCATATATATATATATATATATATATATATATATATATATATATATATATATCCATACATATGCCAATCAATCTGAGCAAAGAAAGTTTATAGGGTAAGAGACATTTTTATACCCTAATGAAACAGTTAAAACAATGATATTTGAAAATTGTATAAACAATTGAGAAGAGTCAAGTAGTCTTAATCATAATCGTATTGTTATTATTACTATTCGTATTACTACTACTACTACTACTACTACTACTACTAATGATAATAATAATAATAATAATAATAATAATAATAATAATGTGGGTAAAAGAAGGAAGAAGTTGGGAGAAACAGGAAAGTAAATGAAATGAAAAATATTTTACACCTCCACCACCACCACTACCATCACCATCACCACCGCTCTCACCACCACCACCAACAACAACAATAATAACAACAACACAAACATCAACAACAATAACAAAACAGAAACAAAAAAGAGTAGAATTACAACGATAAATCACGATAGATCTATGAGAAAATTGTAAATGTGATGATTCAATTAACAACAACAACAAAGACATTAGTTAATTTCATCTGTAAGTAAACGATAAATGAAAAAGAAATGAATTCAGGTATATATTCTTTTTATAATCTATAAATTATTCCATTAATATATATATATATATACTACTTTTTAAGACTACTTATATTCCTAAAAATAAAATAATATACACTTCTGAGTAGAAGCATTATTCATTGTAAATGACTGAACGAAACTGGTAATGATCAGAAATTTATAGATCAACGAATATTTTCATAGCACTTTTCCCAATTATAATCATTATTAGGAGTAGTAGTAGTAGTAGTAGTAGTAGTGTTGATAGTAGTAGTAGTAGTAGTAATAGTAACATAAAGGCAATTTGTGAAGAGTTACAAATTGATCTAGGCTAGACCACCTGAAGAGTCGATTTATCCTAGCATGAAACTTCTCAGCACTACGTATCAATGATCCTACCTTGAGAGATTCAATTCCAAGATACGCTTAAACTCTTGACCACTAAGCCGGAATTCAACGTTGTTGATATCTAACTTCAAGCAATGTTTTCAGTCAGTTACTATCTTACAACAAGCACTTCTGAACATCCAGTACTTTCTACGATTTTCCACGATAGTCTAGCTTCAAACGATTCATAAATTTAACTATTAAATAACAATATTATTCATACAATCTCTTTCTAACTGAAATTCAAATATGTTAGCTAATTATCAGATAAACTTCGTAGATGTTTCATTAAATTTCAATGAATTTTACTTTTCAATAATAAAACATTCTCTATTACTGTATCCTCTTAAATATCATTAGACATTTGGATTGAAATTAGTATACTGTTAAATATGTACATATTTGCCAATGTCTATGCTACTAATACTACTTATGTAATTCAGTAGTAAATCATGATTAAATGTTTTATTATTATCACTATCATTATTATAACTATGGTACAAGATCAAATTCTTAGCATAAGATATTTCAACAAGTTACCTTTACAAAACAAAAGTTCAGAAAATACCCCTGACCATTGCATACATGTATACATAACTATACCACTGAACAACAACCTAATGGTATTAAAGCTTAACATCATATCATGAAACTTGAAGATTTTTGAAGTTTTGTGAATGTGCACTATTGATTAATATGTTGAACAAACTCGACCGTAGTCATTAGCACAGTAAATACGACCAATCAATAATGATTTCCACCAACGGAACAATATACTCGATTGATGGTTTAATTCATTATTGTATCTATGGTACAGAATGGAATTCTCATCACCAAGTATTTCAACAGGTTTCTTTTATAAAGAAAGAAAGAAACAAAGTGAAAGGAACTGATAACCACATGTATGGATACATATACATATACAAGAGTAAAGTAGATCAACTACATGGAATCAAATGAAATCTCTACTAAGAAGATAAGGAACCCATAGAAATCTTTTAATTGTTGAGTTGGATGAAAGATGATGGTGAGCGGTCTATGTTCCTTTACGAGGAGTAACAGGGGTATGTAAGTGATTACGAGTTGACTAGATCATCTCTAACCGTGTGTTCTTCACAGAAAGAAAGAAAGAAAGT